AGCAGCAGCAGCAGCAGCAGCAGCAGCAGCTGCTGCTGCTGCTGCTGCTGTATATAAATATCCTCCAATGAGGATTAGCTAATGCATTTCTGTCCCTAATTGATGAATCAATTGTAAGAAAGGAGACAATAAAAAGGAGACAGGGACGAGGAGACAGACAAAAAAAAAGACAGTAAAAAGGAGACAGACAAAAAAAAAGGAGACAATAAAAAGGAGACAGACAAAAAAAAAGGAGACAATAGAAAGGAGACAGAAAAAAAAAGGAGACAAAAAAAAGGAGACACCTTATTTACCTTCCAATGAGGATTAGCTAATGCATTTCTTTCTCTTATTACTAAATAAAATATATAAAGGAGACAAGGAGACAGTAAGGAATAGAGACAGAAAAAAGGAGACAGAAAAAAAAAAGGAGACAAAAAAAAAGGAGACAAAAGGAGACACCTTATTTACCTTCCAATGAGGATTAGCTAATGCATTTCTTTCTCTTATTGCTAAATAAAATGTATAAAGGAGACAATATAGAGACAAGGAGACAGGAAGGAATAGAGACAGAAAAAAGGAGACAGGAAAAAAAAAAAAGGAGACACCTAATAGTGTCTCCTTTTTTTTATTAGTATTTACCTTCCAATGGGGATTAGCTAATGCATTTCTTTCTCTTATTGCTAAATCAAATGTAGTTAGACAAACATTAAAATCTATTTGTTTTAATTGTCGTTGTAATTGACGACGCTCTAATCGAGCTCCCTATACACACCAAAACCCTAAACCCTAAACCCTAAACCCTAAACCCTAAACCCTAAAAACCCTAAAAACCCTAAACCCTAAAAACCCTAAACCCTAAAGTGTATATATATATTATATTATATTATATATATATATAGTACAAGACAGTAAATTATATATTATTATTTAGATACATCTAAATCCTATGAGATATATTAGGAGAAAAGTGTCTCCTTTTCCTAATAAGAAAGAAAAAAAAGTGTCTCCTTTTTATTTATTTGTCTCTTTTTTTTTTTTTTTTTTTTTTTT